TGAGCTGCAGAACCCACTCGTGAAACAGAGATCCCAACATTAATAGCCGGTCTAAGTCCAGCATTAAATAGATCAGCGGATAAGAAAATTTGGCCATCCGTAATAGAAATTACATTAGTGGGAATATAAGCGGACACATCTCCTGATTGAGTTTCTACTATGGGTAAGGCGGTCATACTGCCCTCACCTAACTTTGAGCTTAATTTGGCAGCTCTTTCCAAAAGCCTTGAGTGCAAATAAAACACATCTCCTGGGTACGCGTCGCGACCAGGTGGTCTGCGTAATAAAAGAGACATTTGGCGATAAGCTTGGGCCTGTTTGGAAAGATCATCATAAATTATTAAAGTGTGTCTTTCCTTATACATAAAATACTCAGCCAAGGCTGCTCCTGTATAAGGGGCGAGATATTGTAGTGTAGCGGCGGAATCCGCCATTTCAGCTACCACAATAGTATATTGCAAGGCTCCCTTTTCCTGTAAGGTAGTAACTACTTGGGCGACAGAAGATGCCTTTTGTCCAATAGCAACATAAACACATATAACATTTTGACTTTGTTGATTGAGAATTGTATCTGTCGCGACTGCCGTCTTACCAGTTTGTCGATCTCCAATAATTAATTCTCGCTGGCCACGTCCTATGGGTATCATTGAATCAATCACAATGAGCCCTGTTTGAAGAGGCTCATATATGGAACGACGCGAAAGAATCCCTGGAGCGGGGGAGTCAATTAATCTAAATTCCGAAGATAAAATTTCGCCCCTACCATCAATTGGGGTAGCCAGGGCATTTATAACACGACCCAAATAGGCGTCACCGACGGGAACCTGAGCAATTTGTCCTGTTGCCTTTACCGAACCTCCTTCTTTTATCCTCAACCCGTCACCCATTAAAACGACACCAACATTCTTTGATTCCAAATTAAGAGCAATCCCCTTTGTTCCCTCTTCAAATTCTATTAATTCCCCTGCCATTACTTCATCAAGACCATAAATACGTACAATGCCATCCCCAACCTGAAGGACGGTACCAGTATTTAAAATATTTATTTTTTTAGTATAGTGTTGAATACGCTCACGGATAATATTACTAATTTCGTCGGCTCGAATAGTTACCATGATTCTTTCTTAATTTTTTTTTATTTGTAAAACCCAATCAAAAATAAATAGCAATAAACTATTTATTTGAGTGTTCCCAACATACTAATATTAATACGAATTGTACGTAAATGCAACTCAGGATTAAAAGAACCATTCAGAGTTTTTAAAACTCTTTGTAAGGTTTGTTGTAAGACCCATTGTCGGACGTCATTAAAGGCCTGTTGTTGTTCAAATGAACAAGTTTCTTTTTTTTTCCAATCGTTCTAAGGTTTTATAAGTTGAATTAATCAAATTCAACTTTTCATGTTCTATTTCAGAATATCCAGTAACTCGTAACTGCTTCGCTTCGTTTTCAACCTTACATAAACGCGCCTGGGCTTTTTCTAGTTTTTCAACAGCGCTACTATAGAGTTCGTCTGAAATTTGAATCGTGTTTACGATCTTATTTTTTCGAGTATCTAAAAAATTCCTTAAAAACCCCTTTCCAAAAATGATCAATAAACAAAGTACGACACCTATATTTATAAGAGTTGTTACTAAATTATTAGTGTTCAAGCCAAAACTCCCAGCAGGTGATTGGGAGGCCAACGAAATTAAATAATAGGTTACGTCGTTCATAAATTATCCTCAAACTATTTTTTTTAGTAGGTAGCCTCTATTTTACTCTGAAAAAGTGGGAATCCATTGGAAACGGATTAGCAGACCAATTCCTTTCAAAGACGAACATAAAAGATCGACACAATAATTGGTCGGCTCATATGACCTCGATATAATTTAAAAAAACAAATTCTCCTATTTCTACGAAAATAAAAATATTAAATAAAAGGATTTGCAAATAAAAGAGCTAATGCGACAACCAATCCATAAATTGTTAAAGCTTCCATAAAAGCTAAACTAAGCAATAAAGTGCCTCGTATTTTTCCCTCCGCCTCAGGCTGTCGAGCGATCCCCTCGACAGCACGACCCGCCGCAGTACCTTGACCAATCCCAGGTCCAATAGAAGCAAGTCCTACGGCAAAGCCAGCAGCAATCACAGAAGCAGCAGAAATAATTGGATTCATAATAAATTCGTGGTAAATAATAAAGTCGTTAATGATACAATCTAATGCAGTGGGATTTTTCTAGTGACTAGAATTGGTAAGTAATGTAACGGAAGGATATTTTATTTTTGATTTTCTCAGTTCTTCACGTAAATAATAAATTGAAATATTAATAAAAAGCTCCCTCGTGAAATCAATAATAGAAACACACTTTACATTTTGAGGAATATGTCTTGGGTTTAAGTTAAAAAAAACGAACCAACGAGTTCAATGATAATCGTCTATGGATTCACCTATATAAGCCGCGGCTAAAGTTGCAAAAATAAGCGCTTGAATACCGCTTGTAAATAATCCAAGGAGCATGACGGGGATAGGAACCACTAAAGGTACTAGAGAAACAAGAACAACAACTACTAATTNTTGGGAGGCCAAAGAAATTAAATAATAGGTTACGTCTTTCATAAATTATCCTCAAACTATTTTTTTTAGTAGGGAGCCCCTATTTTACTCTGAAAATGTGGGAATCAATTGAAAACGAATTAGCAGACCAATTCCTTTCAAAGACGAACATAAAAGATCGGCGCAATCATTGGTCGGCTCATACGATCTCGATATAATTTAAAAAAACAAATTCTCCTGTTTCTACAAAAATAAAAATATTAAATAAAAGGATTCGCAAATAAAAGAGCTAATGCGACAACCAATCCATAAATTGTTAAAGCTTCCATGAAAGCTAAACTAAGCAATAAAGTGCCTCGTATTTTTCCCTCCGCCTCAGGCTGTCGAGCGATCCCCTCGACAGCACGACCCGCCGCAGTACCTTGACCAATCCCAGGTCCAATAGAAGCAAGTCCTACGGCAAAGCCAGCAGCAATCACAGAAGCAGCAGAAATAATTGGATTCATAATAAATTCGTGGTAAATAATAAAGTCGTTAATGATACAATCTAATGCAGTGGGATTTTTCTAGTGACTAGAATTGGTAAGTAATGTAAAGGAATGATATTTTATTTTTGACTTTCTCAGTTCTTCACGAAAGCATAAATTAAAGTATTCATGGATACTAAATGTCCTATAATAAATTGAAGGATTAAGAAAAAGCTCCCTCGTGAAATCAATAATAGAAACACACTTTACATTTTGAGGAATATGTCTTGCGTTTAAGTTATAAAAAAAAGCAAACCAACGAGTTCAATGATAATCGTCTATGGATTCACCGATATAAGCCGCGGCTAAAGTTGCAAAAATAAGCGCTTGAATACCGCTTGTAAATAATCCAAGGAGCATGACGGGAATAGGAACCACTGAAGGTACTAAAGAAACAAGAACAACAACTACTAATTCATCGGCTAAAATGTTCCCAAAAAGTCGAAAACTAAGTGATAAAGGCTTTGTGAAATCTTCTAGAATGTTAAGAGGTAAAAGGATCGGAGTTGGTTTAATATATTTACTGAAATAACCAATTCCTTTTTTTGAAAGGCCCGCATAAAAATAAGCCGCTGACGTAAGTAAAGCCAAAGCAACAGTAGTATTAATATCATTTGTGGGTGCGGCTTACTCCCCATGAGGCAATTTTAATATTTTCCATGGTAAAAGAACCCCTGACCAATTTGAAACAAAAATAAATAGAAATAGCGTACCAATAAAAGGAACCCAGGGACCATAACCTTCACCAATTTGGGTTTGACTTACATCTCGAATCAAATCAAGAACATATTCAAAAAAATTCTGACCCCCAGTCGGAATAATTTGTGGGTGTCGAACAACTATGGTGACTGAACCGAATAAAATAGCAATTACAACCCAAGACGTCATAAGTACCTGACCGTGCACTTGTAAAGTTCCTATTTGCCAATAGAAATGTTGGCCTACTTTGACACTCGCTAGCTCATATACCTCTTTTAGGTTATTGATGGAACATGATAAAACATTCATGAATGCCCCCTTACAAAATAGAACGTTCAACCATTTTTTTTCAGGTTTTTTTTTATGTTATTCAGCAGTTAGAGTTATTAAGGCTTTCTTAACTGACTAAAATAACCCTGACAAATCGCGAAAACCAATTTGTTAAGAATGAATCTAATTGAAGCCATGGCATCATCATTTGCTGGAATTGCAATATCGGATAGATTAGGATCACAATTTGTATCAATTAAAGAAATGGTTGGAATTCCTAAAGTTCTACATTCTTGTAAAGCCGTATATTCTTTGTGTTGATCAATAATGATTACAATATCAGGTAACCCTGTCATATATTGAATACCACCCAGATATTTTTGCAAGCGAGCTAATTTTCTTTTTAACATAGTTGCCTCTTTTTTTGGAAGATTATTGAGTCCCCCCTTTTTTTGTTCCATTCTTAAGTCCCTGAACTTCTGAAGTCTTGTTTCTGTGGTGGACCAATTTGTTAACATACCGCCAAGCCATTTTTTATTCACATAATGACACCTGGCCCTTTTAGAAGCGCGCGCGACTGCTTCATCTGCTGCATTATTTGTACCAACAATTAAGAATTTTTTTCCCTTACTCGCGGCATAAAAAACCAAATCACAAGCTTCGGATAAAAAACGTGCTGTTCTAGTAAGATTTATAATATGAATACCTTTACGCTTTGCGGAAATATAAGGAGCCATTTTAGGATTCCAGTTCTGAGTACTATGCCCAAGATGAACTCGAGCCTCCAACATATCTTCCAAATTGATGTTCCAATATTTTTTTTTCATTTATCTTGCTCCCTCTTTTTTATTATTTTATTAGATCACCTTATTTTGCTTTTTTTTTATAGTGATATTTCCTTTAAAGAAATTTTATTCAAAATGGAGATGCACAGTTGATCCTGACGGGACTTAGCCAATCAGATTATTCTAGAGTTAATTTGAACCAGAATAACTTGATCCAAGTTAAGACGGTTATTATAGTTCTATATTTATATATATTTTCATAAAGAAACTGTCCAAGTCGTAGTATTTTGGAATTTGAAATGTTTCGTTTGAATATAAATTGGTAATAAAAAAATAGTTTAATTTGAATACTTGACGAGATTGTCGAATTAAAACTAGTGAGTGATGAAGATCTTAATAACCAAGTAAATTGGAGTTATTCATTCTTTAGGTCTTTCTGCGAACTTTTGTTAGAATTCTTGGGTCGTGACTCTTATCGTATGAGGGTATTTTTTGTAACCGTGCTCGGGTTCATTTGAGAACAACTTGACGAGGAAAAAAGACTCAATAATTTAAAAAAATTTCTGGGCGTGAAACACTGCCCCCCGCCGGCATGAAACGGGCGTGAGGGCGCCTGCGTCATTCGTTTGACGCGGCGTGACTCTTGCGCGGCTCCCTCCTAACGGCTAAAAAAGCCGTTGCAGCCCACATTTCAAAAAATTTATTTTTTTTCCCTATAAATTCAACCCCCAACCAATCTCTCACACCTTCTCTTCAATCTCTTCCTCTTTCTTATTTTTAAATTTCAAAATTCAAACCCCCCCTCCCAATTTTCAACATGAATCCTTCTGGCTCCGGCTTCTTTCCCGACGGTCTCCCGCCCGTCGACGCCGCGATGTGGTATTACCAAGAGTTGGGCGATCGACCGCCGATGTACGAGACGCAACAGTCGGGGTACGTCGACTGAGATTCGGTTCCGGAGACTCAACCGGAACCGTCCGAATCGAAAAAAAGTACACGCCGGAGGAGCCACAAAGCCAAAAGCACGTTGACCGAGGCGGCACGGTCAATCCAAAAGTGGACGCCGGAGGAGGAGTGCATATTGGCGTCGGCTTGGGTTGACGTCTCCGAGCATCCTATCATTGGTTAAAAATTTATTTTTTGTAATATATTTATGTTTTTATTTTTATATATTATATTTAATGGTGTCTAAAAAAATTGTGTAATACATTTTTAAAGGTACGGAGCAAACGAAGGATGCGATGTGGGATCGTATCGAGGAGAAGTTCTTCACGGCGATGAAGAAGGACGGCTCCTACCGAACCCGGGACCAACTCACTTCCAAATGGAGCCACATCAACAAAAAAGTCCGAAAGTTTATGGGAGTTTACGAGGGATGCTCCCGGTCCCGGAGGAGCGGCACGAACGACGCCGATGTTCTCCGGCTTGCCACGACCCGGTATCAAGACGACGGGAACCAAGGCAAGGTGCCCATCGATCTTTG